GATCACCAATGTAAGGGACATTCTTCCCACTGACCCCCAATGTAAGGACATTCTTCCCACTGACCCCCAATGTAAGGGACATTCTTCCCACTGACCCCCAATGTAAGGGACGTTCTTCCCACTGACCCCCAATGTAAGGGACGTTCTTCCCACTGACCCCCAATGTAAGGGACATTCTTCCCACTGACCCCCAATGTAAAGGGACATTTCTTCCCACTGACCCCCAATGTAAGGGACATCTTCCCACTGACCCCCAATGTAAGGGACATTCTTCCCACTGACCCCCCCAATGTAAGGGACATTCCTTCCCACTGACCACCCAATGTAAGGACATTCTTCCACTGACCCCCCATTGTAAGGGACATTCTTCCCACTGACCCCCAATGTGTAAGGGACATTTCTTCCCACTGACCCCACCACCAATGTAAGGGACATTTCTTCCACTGACTCCCCCAATGTAAGGGACATTCTTCCCACAGACCCCAATGTAAGGACATTCTTCCACTGATCCCCAATGTAAGGGACATTCTTCCCACTGACCCCCAATGTAAGGGAACATTCTTCCCACTGACCCCCAATGTAAGGGACATTCTTCCTTCCACTGACCCCCAATGTAAGGGACATTCTTCCCACTGATCCCCAATGTAAGGGACATTTCTATTCCCACTGACCACCCCCCCAATGTAAGGGACATTCTTCCCACTGACCCCCCAATGTAAGGGACATTCTTCTCACTGACCCCCAATGTAAGGGACATTCCTCCCACTGACACCACCAATGTAAGGGACATTTCTTCCCACTGACCACACCCCACAATGTATGGGGACATTCTTCCCACTGACACCCAATGGGACATTCTTCCCCACTGACCCCCCAATGTTAAGGGACATTCTTCCCACTGACCCCCCCCAATGTAAGGGACATTCTCCCACTGACCACCAATGTAAGGGACATTCTCCCCCACTGACCCCCCCCAATGTAAGGGACATTCTTCCCACTGACCACCAATGTAAGGGACATTCTTCCCACTGAACCCCAATGTAAGGGACATTCTTCCCACTGACCCCCAATGTAAGGGACATTCTTCCCACTGACCCCCCAATGTAAGGGACATTCTTCCACTGATCACCAATGTAAGGGACATTCTTCCCACTGTCCCCCAATGTAAGGGAATCATTCTTCCCACTGACCCCCCCCACCAATGTAAGGGACATTCTCCCACTGACCCCCAATGTAAGGGACATTCTTCCCCACTGACCCCCCCCACCAATGTAAGGTGACTTCTACTTCCCCCCCACTGACCCCCAATGTAAGGAACGTTCCCTTCCACTGATCCCCAATGTAAGGGACATTCTTCCCTCTGACCCCAATGTAAGGGACGTTCTTCTCACTGACACCCCAATGTAAGGGACATTCTTCTCCCACTGACCACCAATGTAAGGAACATTCTTCCCACTGATCACCAATGTAAGGGACATTCTTCCCACTGACCACCAATGTAAGGGACATTCTTCCCACTGACCACCAATTGTAAGGGACATTCTTCCCACTGACCTCCAATGTAAGGACATTCTTCCCACTGATCCCCCAATGTAAGGGACATTCTTCCCCCCCACTGACCCCCAATGTAAGGAACATTCTTCCCACTGATCCCCAATGTAAGTGGACATTCTTCCCTCTGACCCCCAATGTAAGGACAATTCTTCCCACTGACCACCAATGTAAGGGGAACATTCTTCCACTGACCCCCAATGTAAGGGACGTTCTTCCCACTGACCCCCCAATGTAGGGACATTCTTCCCACTGACCCCCAATGTAAGGGACATTCTTCCCACTGACCCCCAATGTAAGGAACATTCTTCCCACTGACCCCTAATGTAAGGGACATTCTTCCCACTGACCCCAATGTAAGGGACATTCTTCCCACTGACCCCCAATGTAAGGGACATTCTTCCCACTGACGATCCCAATGTAAGGGACATTTTTCCCACTGACCCCCAATGTAAGGGACGATTCTCAAAGGATACCACTGACCCCCAATGTAAGGGACATTCTTCCCACTGACCACCAATGTAAGGGAACATTCTTCCCACTGATCACCAATGTAAGGGACATTCTTCAAATACTGACCCCCAATGTAAGGGACATTCTTCCCACTGACCACCAATGTTAAGGACATTCTTTCCCACTGACCACCAATGTAAGGGACATTCTTCCCACTGACCTCCAATGTAAGGAACATTCTTCCCCACTGACCCCCAATGTAGGGACATTCTTTCCCCCCCACTGACCCCCAATGTAAGGGAACATTCTTCCCACTGATCCCCAATGTAAGGGACATTCTTCCCTCTGAACCCCCCAATGTAAGGGACATTCTTCCCACTGACCACCAATGTAAGGGACATTTCTTCCCACTGACACCCCACCCCATGTAAGGACATTCTTCCATCACTGACCACCAATGTAAGGGACATTCTTCCCACTGACCCCCAATGTAAGGGACATTCTTCCCCACTGACCCCCAATGTAAGGAACATTCTTCCCACTGACCCCCAATGTAAGGGACGTTCTTCCCTGACCCCAATGTAAGGACATTCTTCCCACTGATCACACCAATGTAAGGACATTCTTCCACTGACCACCAATGTAAGGGACATTCTTCCCACTGACCACCAATGTAAGGGACATTCTTCCACTGACCCCCAATGTAAAAGGACATTCTTCCAACTGAATGTAAATGTGGGAGAAGATCAGCCTGGTGTGCCTCTCCAGAGGAGGTTCCAGCAGGTTGGACGGGTTCCGGCGAGTCGCGGGTTAACGTATTTCTCTCTTCGGAAAGTTATCTGTTGAGGGTATTAGTTGTGTTTAATAAAGCGCGGTTGGCCTCTCCATGAACCCGCCGTGACTCTACAGTTGGGGTCATTCCAAGTTCAGGCTTTGGACTTTTGACTGCCTTCTGTATGTGAAAAGCAGCGGGCGGCTCCTGCGGGGATCACTTAGCCTGTAACACAAAAACTATTGCCAGCGGGCACCTGCTGGGACAGCTTCACAGGGGGTCCTGGGGGGGGAAGCTTCCACACTCATCAGGCTTCTGCTGAGATAAAAGCAGCAGGGGGTTCCCTCCGGGATAACCAGCTAATCAGGCAGCCTCACTGACAGCCTATCAGGGGGCTTTGCAGATTACCCAACTGACAGGCAATGCCTGGCCACCTCTAAGCCCACCTAACAATAGGATGTGGGGGTCATTAATGGGCTTTTAATTACTGGAGATAAAGTCAATGGGCCTCCAGATAAGGCCATTGTAGGTTGTGGACAGTTGGTCCTCCAAGGACTTTCAGAAATTCTTTGCAGTCTATTCTTGAATTTTCTATTTCAAAGCTACCTATGAAGATTCAATCCTAGTCGTTCGTTAATCTGACTGGCAACCAGGGGTGGACTGACCATTCTAGCACTCGGGCACTGCCCCAGGGCCCGGAGTCTGTAGGGGGCCCCATGAAATACCCCTGGTACCTTTTATAGGCTTTTGTGGGTGTGCTTTGAGTGTGGGCAAGGACACGGGCCCTGTGATCCCCTATTGCCCGGAGGCCCCATGAGTTTTCAGTCCGCCCCTGCTGGCAACCTCGCACCATGAGCCGCCACCAAATGTTTCTTCTAAGGGCACCTCTTCCTGGTATGGAAGATATATCCAAACTCCGGCTAGTGGATGAATGGTGGCCATGCAAGCCACAACATGGCAACTTCCAGTCACTGGGATCCCCAAACACAATCCGAAGTCATTTATTTTATTACTGGTATCGCCGTAGCGCCAAACATTTCCACCAATAAAACAAAGGACTCCTTTCACCGACTCCGATTACTACCCTGAGGTCTGAGATCCCGGCTCCAGCACTCTCAGTCACACAAACAGGTCCAGCATGTTCCTGGCAAGGATCATGTTGTCGGGCTTTCTCCTGGGATCCCGAGAACTCTGAGAATCTCCAATATGAAGAGCCGGCACTCCACCTTCCTTGAGGGAACTTTGGGAGCCTCAGCTTTCCCATCATCCTGGGAGAAGGAGCTGTGATGTCACACTCATTGGGGTCACACTCATTGGGGTCACACTCATTGGGGTCACACTCATTGCGGGTACAAAGGGAGAATTTTTAATTTTTTTCAGATTTTTTAGTTTACCTTGGCTTTTTTTTTTTATATGAGGGGAGGGCAATCAATCTCCCCATCAGAAAGAGAACCGTCTGCTATCTGTGCATGTATTGTATCATCTCTGTCCTTACAGTTGTGGTAATGAGGTCCGTGATGACATCTCATGTGAGTTCTGACAATCTGGCTTTTATCCCCTCCATGGTGTCATTCGGTCAGTGGCCGAGGATTTGGTCTTCGATTATATCTGGCAAAGTTTAATTTCATGCATGCCAAGCTTAAAGTTCAACCTTTACTGTTCACCTAAACTTGATGTCTACAAGACAACCCGACAAGATGCCCTCTCCTCCTCATGTCCTCCTCATGTCCTCCTCATGTCCTCCTCATGTCCTCCTCATGTCCTCCTCATGTCCTCATGTCCTCCTCATGTCCTTCTCATGTCCTCCTCATGTCCTCCTCATGTCCTTCTCATGTCCTCCTCATGTCCTCCTCATGTCCTCCTCATGTCCTCCTCATGTCCTCCTCATGTCCCCTCCTCATGTCCTCCTCATGTCCTCCTCATGTCCTCCTCATGTCCTTCTCATGTCCTTCTCATGTCCTCCTCTATGTCCTTCTCTGGACGTGACTTTCCCAGATTGATGGCTGAACCCCGACGACTGCCATCCACCTGTCCAGGGATTAGGCCCTTCAATAACCACAAAGGCAGTCTCAGGAAATAGTGGAACGGCAGCCCCAGGGCTTAGCAGAGGAAGTCGGGCCCCTAACAAAGTGATACCGGATCCCAGGGGGGTAAAGAATAAGCTCCTTGGGCAGTGCAGCCCCCCCCCCCCCCCCCCCCCCCCCCCCCCCCCCCCCCCCCCCCCCCCCCACCTTCCCCCCCGCCACCCCCCCCCCCCCCCCCCACCCACCCCCCCCCCCCCCCCCCCCCCCCCCCCCCCCCCCCCCCCCCCCCCCCCCCCCCACCCCCCCCCCCCCCCCCCCCCCCCCCCCCCCCCCCCCCCCCCCCCCCCCCCCACCCCCCCCCCCCCCCCCCCCCCCCCCCCCCCCCCCCCCCCCCCCCCCATCCCCCCCCCCCCCCCCCCCCCCCCCCCCCCCCCCCCCCCCCCCCCCCCCCCCCCCCCCCCCCCCCCCCCCCCCCCCCCCCCCCCCCCCCCCCCCCCCCCCCCCCCCCCCCCCCCCCCCCCCCCCCCCCCCCCCCCCCCCCCCCCCCCCCCCCCCCCCCCCCCCCCCCCCCCCCCCCCCCCCCCCCCCCCCCCCCCCCCCCCCCCCCCCCCCCCCCCCCCCCCCCCCCCCCCCCCCCCCCCCCCCCCCCCCCCCCCCCCCCCCCCCCCCCCCCCCCCCCCCCCCCCCCCCCCCCCCCCCCCCCCCCCCCCCCCCCCCCCCCCCCCCCCCCCCCCCCCCCCCCCCCCCCCCCCCCCCCCCCCCCCCCCCCCCCCCCCCCCCCCCCCCCCCCCCCCCCCCCCCCCCCCCCCCCCCCCCCCCCCCCCCCCCCCCCCCCCCCCCCCCCCCCCCCCCCCCCCCCCCCCCCCCCCCCCCCCCCCCCCCCCCCCCCCCCCCCCCCCCCCCCCCCCCCCCCCCCCCCCCCCCCCCCCCCCCCCCCCCCCCCCCCCCCCCCCCCCCCCCCCCCCCCCCCCCCCCCCCCCCCCCCCCCCCCCCCCCCCCCCCCCCCCCCCCCCCCCCCCCCCCCCCCCCCCCCCCCCCCCCCCCCCCCCCCCCCCCCCCCCCCCCCCCCCCCCCCCCCCCCCCCCCCCCCCCCCCCCCCCCCCCCCCCCCCCCCCCCCCCCCCCCCCCCCCCCCCCCCCCCCCCCCCCCCCCCCCCCCCCCCCCCCCCCCCCCCCCCCCCCCCCCCCCCCCCCCCCCCCCCCCCCCCCCCCCCCCCCCCCCCCCCCCCCCCCCCCCCCCCCCCCCCCCCCCCCCCCCCCCCCCCCCCCCCCCCCCCCCCCCCCCCCCCCCCCCCCCCCCCCCCCCCCCCCCCCCCCCCCCCCCCCCCCCCCCCCCCCCCCCCCCCCCCCCCCCCCCAGGACTGCCTAGGTACAGAAAGTGCCCTGTTATCAGGACTGCCTAGGCACAGGAAGTGCACTGTTATCAGGACTGCCTAGGTACAGAAAGTGCCCTGTTATCAGGACTGCCTAGGCACAGGAAGTGCACTGTTAACAGTGCACTTCCTGTACCTAGGCAGTCCTGATAACAGTGCACTTCCTGTGCCTAGGCAGTCCTGATAACAGTGCACTTCCTGTACCTAGGCAATCCTGATAACAGTGCACTTCCTGTGTCTAGGCAGTCCTGATACCAGGGCGCTTTCTGTGCCTAGGCACCCCTGATTACAGTGTGCTTCCTGTGTCTAGGCAGTCCTGATACCAGGGCACTTCCTGTGCCTAGGCAGTCCTGATAACAGTGCACTTCCTGTACCTAGGCAGTCCTGATAACAGTGCACTTCCTGTACCTAGGCAATCCTGATAACAGGGCACTTCCTGTGTCTAGGCAGTCCTGATACCAGGTCACTTCCTGTGCCTAGGCAGTCCTGATAACAGTGTGCTTCCTGTGCCTAGGCAGTCCTGATACCAGGGCACTTCCTGTGCCTAGGCAGTCCTGATAACAGTGCACTTCCTGTACCTAGGCAGTCCTGATATCAGGACTGCCTAGGCACAGGAAGTGCCCTGGTATCAGGACTGCCTAGACACAGGAAGCACACTGTTATCAGGACTGCCTAGGCACAGGAAGTGACCTGGTATCAGGACTGCCTAGACACAGGAAGTGCCCTGTTATCAGGATTGCCTAGGTACAGGAAGTGCACTGTTATCAGGACTGCCTAGGTACAGGAAGTGCACTGTTATCAGGACTGCCTAGGCACAGGAAGTGCCCTGGTATCAGGACTGCCTAGACACAGGAAGCACACTGTAATCAGGGGTGCCTAGGCACAGAAAGCGCCCTGGTATCAGGACTGCCTAGACACAGGAAGTGCACTGTTATCAGGACTGCCTAGGCACAGGAAGCGCCCTGTGATCAGGGGTCCCTAGGCACAGGAAGCTTACTAGTATAAGGGGTGCCTAGGCACAGGAAGCATCCTGGTATCAGGGGTGCCTAGGCACAGGAAGCGTCCTGGTATCAGGGGTGCCTAGGCACAGGAAGCGTCCTGGTATCAGGGGTGCCTAGGCACAGGAAGCACACTGTTATCAGGACTGCCTAGGCACAGGAAGCGCACTGGTATCAGGTGTGCCTAGGCACAGGAAGCGCACTGGTATAAGGAGTGCCTAGGCACATGAAGCGTACTGGTATCAGGGGTGCCTAGGCACATGAAGCGTACTGGTATCAGGGGTGCCTAGGCACATGAAGAGTACTGGTATCAGGGGTGCCTAGGCACAGGAAGTGCCCTGTTATCAGGATTGCCTAGGTACAGGAAGTGCACTGTTATCAGGACTGCCTAGGTACAGGAAGTGCACTGTTATCAGGACTGCCTAGTCACAGGAAGTGCCCTGGTATCAGGACTGCCTAGACACAGGAAGTGCACTGTTATCAGGACTGCCTAGACTCAGGAAGCGCACTGTGATCAGGACTGCCTAGGCCCAGGAATCGCACTGTGATCAGGGGTCCCTAGGCACAGGAAGCTTACTGGTATCAGGGGTGCCTAGGCACAGGAAGCACACTGTTATCAGGACTGCCTAGGCACAGGAAGCGCACTGGTATAAGGAGTGCCTAGGCACATGAAGCGTACTGGTATCAGGGGTGCCTAGGCACAGGAAGCGCACTGGTATAAGGAGTGCCTAGGCACATGAAGCGTACTGGTATCAGGGGTGCCTAGGCACAGGAAGCACCTTGGTATTTTGATTATTTGCAGCAGAGTTCAGGCACGATTCCCCTCTGTAGAGGTTCCCTATGACATAGTAAATCTTGGTTTTCCAGCCGTGGTCCTCGCTAAGTCCCGTGAGTTTCCTGTCCGGACGATGGAAGTGACACCGAATCCCCCGGACTTCGTTCTGGTAGTCACCCTGGAACAATCTCCTCCATTTCTCTGCTGTAATCCAGCGGTTGGCTTTCTTTGGGAAGGTGAACTTTTCACCCGGAGAACATGGACTCTCCAGAGAGAAGTCTCCTTATCTGTCCATGAAACGGGATTTGGGAGCAGATGTTCCCTCAGGGAGGAGATCACCTGCAGGGTGCCGGCCTCCACCGACCTCCTCGTCACACCTGTGTACACACCGACCGCCCCGACCTTTCCTAATCCTTTTACCGCCCATTATTAAATCGAATTAAAAGAAGTCATATTATGGGCTAATTGTTTGTTTGCACCTCGGCTGGAGCGGCAAAGAACGGTGGAGGTCACAGAGAGTTCTCCTCGCATCACAGAGAGTTCTCCTCGCATCACAGAGAGTTCTCCTCTCCCAGAGAGTTCTCCTCGCATCGCAGAGAGTTCTCCTCGCATCGCAGAGAGTTCTCCTCGCATCGCAGAGAGTTCTCCTCGCATCCCAGAGAGTTCTCCTCGCATCACAGAGAGTTCTCCTCTCCCAGAGAGTTCTCCTCGCATCCCAGAGAGTTCTCCTCACATCGCAGGGAGTTCTCCTCGCATCGCAGAGAGTTCTCCTCGCATCACAGAGAGTTCTCCTCACATCGCAGGGAGTTCTCCTCGCATCGCAGAGAGTTCTCCTCGCATCGCAGAGAGTTCTCCTCGCATCGCAGAGAGTTCTCCTCGCATCACAGAGAGTTCTCCTCGCATCACAGAGAGTTCTCCTCGCATCACAGAGAGTTCTCCTCGCATCGCAGAGAGTTCTCCTCGCATCGCAGAGAGTTCTCCTCGCATCGCAGGGAGTTCTCCTCGCATCGCAGAGAGTTCTCCTCGCATCGCAGGGAGTTTCTCCTCGCATCGCAGGGAGTTCTCCTCGCATCGCAGAGAGTTTCTCCTCGCATCGCAGGGAGTTCTCCTCGCATCGCAGGGAGTTCTCCTCGCATCCCAGAGAGTTCTCCTCGCGTCGCAGAGAGTTCTCCTCGCATCACAGAGAGTTCTCCTCGCATCCCAGAGAGTTCTCCTCGCATCACAGAGAGTTCTCCTCTCCCAGAGAGTTCTCCTCGCATCTCAGAGAGTTCTCCTCGCATCGCAGAGAGTTCTCCTCGCATCACAGAGAGTTCTCCTCTCCCAGAGAGTTCTCCTCGCATCTCAGAGAGTTCTCCTCTCCCAGAGAGTTCTCCTCGCATCCCAGAGAGTTCTCCTCGCATCGCAGAGAGTTCTCCTCGCATCGCAGAGAGTTCTCCTCACATCGCAGAGAGTTCTCCTCGCATCCCAGAGAGTTCTCCTCTCCCAGAGAGTTCTCCTCGCATCACAGAGAGTTCTCCTCGCATCGCAGAGAGTTCTCCTCGCATCCCAGAGAGTTCTCCTCGCATCGCAGAGAGTTCTCCTCGCATCGCAGAGAGTTCTCCTCGCATCGCAGGGAGTTCTCCTCGCATCGCAGAGAGTTCTCCTCGCATCGCAGAGAGTTCTCCTCTCCCAGAGAGTTCTCCTCGCATCGCAGAGAGTTCTCCTCGCATCCCAGAGAGTTCTCCTCGCATCGCAGAGAGTTCTCCTCGCATCGCAGGGAGTTCTCCTCGCATCGCAGGGAGTTCTCCTCGCATCGCAGAGAGTTCTCCTCGCATCGCAGAGAGTTCTCCTCGCATCGCAGAGAGTTCTCCTCGCATCGCAGAGAGTTCTCCTCGCATCGCAGAGAGTTCTCCTCGCATCCCAGGGAGTTCTCCTCGCATCGCAGGGAGTTCTCCTCGCATCGCAGAGAGTTCTCCTCGCATCGCAGAGAGTTCTCCTCTCCCAGAGAGTTCTCCTCGCATCCCAGAGAGTTCTCCTCACATCGCAGAGAGTTCTCCTCGCATCACAGGGAGTTCTCCTCGCATCGCAGGGAGTTCTCCTCGCATCGCAGAGAGTTCTCCTCGCATCGCAGGGAGTTCTCCTCGCATCGCAGAGAGTTCTCCTCGCATCGCAGAGAGTTCTCCTCGCATCGCAGAGAGTTCTCCTCGCATCGCAGGGAGTTCTCCTCGCGTCGCAGAGAGTTCTCCTCGCATCGCAGGGCGTTCTCCTCGCATCGCAGAGCGTTCTCCTCGCATCACAAAGAGTTCTCCTCGCATCGCAGAGAGTTCTCCTCGCATCGCAGAGAGTTCTCCTCGCATCGCAGGGAGTTCTCCTCGCATCGCAGGGAGTTCTCCTCGCATCCCAGAGAGTTCTCCTCGCATCCCAGAGAGTTCTCCTCGCATCGCAGAGAGTTCTCCTCGCATCGCAGAGAGTTCTCCTCGCATCGCAGAGAGTTCTCCTCGCATCGCAGAGAGTTCTCCTCGCATCGCAGGGAGTTCTCCTCGCATCCCAGAGAGTTCTCCTCGCATCCCAGAGAGTTCTCCTCGCATCGCAGAGAGTTCTCCTCGCATCGCAGGGAGTTCTCCTCGCATCCCAGAGAGTTCTCCTCGCATCGCAGAGAGTTCTCCTCGCATCGCAGAGAGTTCTCCTCGCATCCCAGAGAGTTCTCCTCGCATCCCAGAGTTCTCCTCGCATCCCAGAGAGTTCTCCTCTCCCAGAGAGTTCTCCTCGCATCGCAGGGAGTTCTCCTCGCATCGCAGAGAGTTCTCCTCGCATCGCAGAGAGTTCTCCTCGCATCGCAGGGAGTTCTCCTCGCATCGCAGGGAGTTCTCCTCGCATCGCAGAGAGTTCTCCTCGCATCGCAGAGAGTTCTCCTCGCATCGCAGAGAGTTCTCCTCGCATCGCAGAGAGTTCTCCTCGCATCGCAGAGAGTTCTCCTCGCATCGCAGAGAGTTCTCCTCGCATCGCAGAGAGTTCTCCTCGCATCGCAGAGAGTTCTCCTCGCATCGCAGAGAGTTCTCCTCGCATCGCAAAGAGTTCTCCTCGCATCGCAAAGAGTTCTCCTCGCATCGCAGAGAGTTCTCCTCGCATCCCAGGGAGTTCTCCTCGCATCGCAGGGAGTTCTCCTCGCATCGCAGAGAGTTCTCCTCGCATCGCAGAGAGTTCTCCTCTCCCAGAGAGTTCTCCTCGCATCCCAGAGAGTTCTCCTCACATCGCAGAGAGTTCTCCTCGCATCGCAGGGAGTTCTCCTCGCATCGCAGGGAGTTCTCCTCGCATCGCAGAGAGTTCTCCTCGCATCGCAGAGAGTTCTCCTCGCATCGCAGAGAGTTCTCCTCGCATCGCAGAGAGTTCTCCTCGCATCGCAGAGAGTTCTCCTCGCATCGCAGGGAGTTCTCCTCGCGTCGCAGAGAGTTCTCCTCGCATCGCAGGGCGTTCTCCTCGCATCGCAGGGCGTTCTCCTCGCATCACAAAGAGTTCTCCTCGCATCGCAGAGAGTTCTCCTCGCATCGCAGGGAGTTCTCCTCGCATCGCAGGGAGTTCTCCTCGCATCCCAGAGAGTTCTCCTCGCATCCCAGAGAGTTCTCCTCGCATCCCAGAGAGTTCTCCTCGCATCGCAGGGAGTTCTCCTCGCATCGCAGGGAGTTCTCCTCGCATCGCAGGGAGTTCTCCTCGCATCGCAGGGAGTTCTCCTCGCATCGCAGGGAGTTCTCCTCGCATCGCAGAGAGTTCTCCTCGCATCGCAGAGAGTTCTCCTCGCATCGCAGAGAGTTCTCCTCGCATCGCAGAGAGTTCTCCTCGCATCGCAGAGAGTTCTCCTCGCATCGCAGAGAGTTCTCCTCGCATCGCAGGGAGTTCTCCTCGCATCCCAGAGAGTTCTCCTCGCATCGCAGGGAGTTCTCCTCGCATCGCAGGGAGTTCTCCTCGCATCCCAGAGAGTTCTCCTCGCATCGCAGAGAGTTCTCCTCGCATCGCAGAGAGTTCTCCTCGCATCGCAGGGAGTTCTCCTCGCATCGCAGAGAGTTCTCCTCGCATCGCAGAGAGTTCTCCTCGCATCGCAGAGAGTTCTCCTCGCATCGCAGAGAGTTCTCCTCGCATCGCAGAGAGTTCTCCTCGCATCGCAGAGAGTTCTCCTCGCATCGCAGAGAGTTCTCCTCGCATCGCAGAGAGTTTTCTCCTCGCATCGCAGAGAGTTCTCCTCGCATCGCAAAGAGTTCTCTCCTCTCCCAGAGAGTTCTCCTCGCATCGCAGGGAGTTCTCCTCCCATGTTTGGAAGTCTCCGAATATTTCCCTTTTGCTGAAGTTAGAATTCCACCCATTGACGGCCAGTTCTGCTTCTTGGACAATGGGAAGGTTCCGGAATGTGAGATGTTCGTATTTCATGGACACCAGTCATCATGCTCCGGCCAGAGATCGTCCCCTCGGAGGTGGAATGTCGGTGCTCCGGCTCTGTGTGTCCCCTTGGAGGTGGAATGTCGGTGCTCCGGCCAGAGATCGTCCCCTCGGAGGTGGAATGTCGGTGCTCCGGCCAGAGATCGTCCCCTCGGAGGTGGAATGTCGGTGCTCCGGCTCTGTGTGTCCCCACGGAGGTGGAATGTCGGTGCTCCGGCTCTGTGTGTCCCCTCAGAGGTGGAATGTCGGTGCTCCGGCCAGAGATCGTCCCCTCGGAGGTGGAATGTCGGTGCTCCGGCTCTGTGTGTCCCCTCGGAGGTGGAATGTCGGTGCTCCGGCTCTGTGTGTCCCCTCGGAGGTGGAATGTCGGTGTGCTTCGGCCAGAGATTGTCCCCTCAGGGGTGGAATGTCGGTGCTCCGGCTCTGTGTGTCCCCTCGGAGGTGGAATGCCGGTGCTCCGGCTCTGTGTGTCCCCACGGAGGTGGAATGTCGGTGCTCCGGCCAGAGATCGTCCCCTCGGAGCAGGATGGGAAATGGTTCTCAAACATTCGTCTGAAAATCTGCAGGTGTATGGCGGCTTCACTCCCACCGAATCTGCCCGGGATTCCCCACCCCCATTACTATTCAACACTGAATACGCCATTATATATTCTTGTATCCTTCCTCCGGCTCCTCCCCTTCAGTCTTGCACAGGTGTACCGGCTCCTCCCCTTCAGTCTTGCCCAGGTGTACCGGCTCCTCCCCTTCAGTCTTGCCCAGGTGTACCGGCTCCTCCCCTTCAGTCTTGCCCAGGTGTACCGGCTCCTCCCCTTCAGTCTTGCACAGGTGTACTGGCTCCTCCCCTTCAGTCTTGCACAGGTGTACTGGCTCCTCCCTTTCAGTCTTGCACAGGTGTACTGGCTCCTCCCCTTCAGTCTTGCACAGGTGTACCGGCTCCTCCCCTTCAGTCTTGCAGAGGTGTACCGGCTCCTCCCCTTCAGTCTTGCACAGCTGTACCGGCTCCTCCCCTTCAGTCTTGTACAGGTGTACCGGCTCCTCCCCTTCAGTCTTGCACAGGTGTACCGGCTCCTCCCCTTCAGTCTTGTACAGGTGTACCGGCTCCTCCCCTTCAGTCTTACACAGGTGTACCGGCTCCTCCCCTTCAGTCTTGTACAGGTGTACCGGCTCCTCCCCTTCAGTCTTGCAGAGGTGTACCGGCTCCTCCCCTTCAGTCTTGCAGAGGTGTACCGGCTCCTCCCCTTCAGTCTTGTACAGGTGTACCGGCTCCTCCCCTTCAGTCTTGCAGAGGTGTACCGGCTCCTCCCCTTCAGTCTTGCAGAGGTGTACTGGCTCCTCCCCTTCAGTCTTGCAGAGGTGTACCGGCTCCTCCCCTTCAGTCTTGTACAGGTGTACCGGCTCCTCCCCTTCAGTCTTGCAGAGGTGTACCGGCTCCTCCCCTTCAGTCTTGCAGAGGTGTACCGGCTCCTCCCCTTCAGTCTTGCAGAGGTGTACCGGCTCCTCCCCTTCAGTCTTGTACAGGTGTACCGGCTCCTCCCCTTCAGTCTTGTACAGGTGTACCGGCTCCTCCCCTTCAGTCTTGCAGAGGTGTACCGGCTCCTCCCCTTCAGTCTTGCAGAGGTGTACTGGCTCCTCCCCTGGTTACTCTGATGTCACTGCACACTGGGAGCTTCTTGCAATGTGCATTAGAAGCTGCAGCAAGTCAGATTTCCTGGCTGGAGGACGTCCAGCATCATCTAGCACTTTCCTTCCCAATCCCCACTTTCATTCGTTGGATTTCAGTTCTCTCATTCATGGAGACTCAGCATCACTAGTGGGTGGTCTGTATGCAAATGCAGCCTGCCTAGGAACACCCCCTCTTCCAGACCGACTCCACCCATCAAGGCATTTTGATATTTGCATAACTGCATCAGGGCTGAGGGCTCTTGAGAGGAGTATTGAGGCCGGGTGCTGTGATGTTTTCAGGAAGCTATGTACAGCCTCCTGCTGGCCGCTCCTACCAGACATGATCTGTCTGTATTGCATAGGGAAGCACAGAGATCCAGAAATGATATCGCTGAGTCTAAAATAAGATATGTAATGATAATGGAAAGGTTTTATTTTAAAATGTCGTTATTGTTGATGGGAGGAGGAGGAGGAGGGAACCAGAGAGAGCAAAAAATACATCGGTGTGACCGGGTCCAAGGCAGGACATCGAGGTGAACAGGTCCAAGGCAGGACATCGGTGTGACCAGGTCCAAGGCAGGACATCGGGGTGACCGGGTCCAAGGCAGGACATCGGGGTGACCGGGTCCAAGGCAGGACATCGAGGTGAACAGGTCCAAGGCAGGACACCGGTGTGACCAGGTCCAAGGCAGGACACCGGTGTGACCAGGTCCAAGGCAGGACACCGGTGTGACCAGGTCCAAGGCAGGACACCGGTGTGACCAGGTCCAAGGCAGGACACCGGTGTGACCAGGTCCAAGGCAGGACACCGGTGTGACCAGGTCCAAGGCAGGACATCGGTGTGACCAGGTCCAAGGTAGGACATCGGTGTGACCAGGTCCAAGGCAGGACATCGGTGTGACCAGGTCCAAGGCAGGACATCGGGTGTGACCAGGTCCAAGGCAGGACACCGGTGTGACCAGGTCCAAGGCAGGACACCGGTGTGACCAGGTCCAAGGCAGGACATCGGGGTGACCAGGTCCAAGGCAGGACATCGGGGTGACCAGGTCCAAGGCAGGACATCGGTGTGACCAGGTCCAAGGCAGGACACCGGTGTGACCAGGTCCAAGGCAGGACATCGGGGTGACCAGGTCCAAGGCAGGACATCGAGGTGAACAGGTCCAAGGCAGGACATCGGGGTGACCAGGTCCAAGGCAGGACATCGAGGTGACCGGGTCCAAGGCAGGACATCAGGGTGACCAGGTCCAAGGCAGGACATCAGGGTGACCAGGTCCAAGGCAGGACATCGGGGTGACCAGGTCCAAGGCAGGACATCGGTGTGACCAGGTCCAAGGCAGGACATCGGTGTGACCAGGTCCAAGGCAGGACATCGGGGTGACCAGGTCCAAGGCAGGACATCAGGGTGACCAGGTCCAAGGCAGGACATCAGGGTGACCAGGTCCAAGGCAGGACATCAGGGTGACCAGGTCCAAGGCAGGACATCAGGGTGACCAGGTCCAAGGCAGGACATCGGTGTGACCAGGTCCAAGGCAGGACATCGGTGTGACCAGGTCCAAGGCAGGACATCGGTGTGACCAGGTCCAAGGCAGGACATCGGTGTGACCAGGTCCAAGGCAGGACATCGGTGTGACCAGGTCCAAGGCAGGACATCGGTGTGACCAGGTCCAAGGCAGGACATCGGTGTGACCAGGTCCAAGGCAGGACACCGGTGTGACCAGGTCCAAGGCAGGACACCGGTGTGACCAGGTCCAAGGCAGGACATCGGGGTGACCAGGTCCAAGGCAGGACATCGGGGTGACCAGGTCCAAGGCAGGACATCGGTGTGACCAGGTCCAAGGCAGGACACCGGTGTGACCAGGTCCAAGGCAGGACATCGGGGTGACCAGGTCCAAGGCAGGACATCGAGGTGAACAGGTCCAAGGCAGGACATCGGGGTGACCAGGTCCAAGGCAGGACATCGAGGTGACCGGGTCCAAGGCAGGACATCAGGGTGACCAGGTCCAAGGCAGGACATCAGGGTGACCAGGTCCAAGGCAGGACATCGGGGTGACCAGGTCCAAGGCAGGACATCGGTGTGACCAGGTCCAAGGCAGGACATCGGTGTGACCAGGTCCAAGGCAGGACATCGGGGTGACCAGGTCCAAGGCAGGACATCAGGGTGACCAGGTCCAAGGCAGGACATCAGGGTGACCAGGTCCAAGGCAGGACATCAGGGTGACCAGGTCCAAGGCAGGACATCGGTGTGACCAGGTCCAAGGCAGGACATCGGTGTGACCAGGTCCAAGGCAGGACATCGGTGTGACCAGGTCCAAGGCAGGACATCGGTGTGACCAGGTCCAAGGCAGGACATCGGTGTGACCAGGTCCAAGGCAGGACATCGGTGTGACCAGGTCCAAGGCAGGACATCGGTGTGACCAGGTCCAAGGCAGGACATTAGGGTGACCAGGTCCAAGGCAGGACATCGGTGTGACCAGGTCCAAGGCAGGACATCGGTGTGACCAGGTCCAAGGCAGGACATCGGTGTGACCAGGTCCAAGGCAGGACATCGAGGTGACCAGGTCCAAGGCAGGACATGGGTGTGACCAGGTCCAAGGCAGGACATCAGGGTGACCAGGTCCAAGGCAGGACATCGAGGTGACCAGGTCCAAGGCAGGACATCGGTGTGACCAGGTCCAAGGCAGGACATCGGTGTGACCAGGTCCAAGGCAGGACATCGGTGTGACCAGGTCCAAGGTAGGACATCGAGGTGACCAGGTCCAAGGCAGGACATCGGGGTGACCAGGTCCAAGGCAGGACATCGAGGTGACCAGGTCCAAGGCAGGACATGGGTGTGACCAGGTCCAAGGCAGGACATGGGTGTGACCAGGTCCAAGGCAGGACATGGGTGTGACCAGGTCCAAGGCAGGACATGGGTGTGACCAGGTCCAAGGCAGGACATGGGTGTGACCAGGTCCAAGGCAGGACATGGGTGTGACCAGGTCCAAGGCAGGACATCGGGGTGACCAGGTCCAAGGCAGGACATCGAGGTGACCAGGTCCAAGGCAGGAAATCGGGTGACCAGGCCCAAGGCAGGACATCGGTGTGACCAGGTCCAAGGCAGGACATCGAGGTGACCAGGTTCCATTGTGTTTGGCGTTTATTAGGAAATAGCATAATGCATGGCCATGCCCTCTGGTGAGGACGAGTCGGGGACCTGGTCTCCTATCGATTCTCTGGTGAGGACGAGTCGGGGACCTGGTCTCCTATCGATTCTCTGGTGAGGACGAGTCGGGGACGGGTCTTCTCTCGATGTTCTGGTGAGGACGAGTCGGGGACGGGTCTCCTATCGATTCTCTGGTGAGGACGAGTCGGGGACGGGTCTTCTCTCGATGTTCTGGTGAGGACGAGTCGGGGACGGGTTGTATGTCCTATCGATTCTCTGGTGAGGACGAGTCGGGGACGGGTCTCCTATCGATTCTCTGGTGAGGACGAGTCGGGGACGGGTCTCCTATCGATTCTCTGGTGAGGAGGAGTCGGGGACGGGTCTCCTATCGATTCTCTGGTGAGGACGAGTCGGGGACGGGTCTCCTATCGATGCTCTGGTGAGGACGAGTCGGGGACGGGTCTCCTATCGATTCTCTGGTGAGGACGAGTCGGGGACGGGTCTCCTATCGATGCTCTGGTGAGGACGAGTCGGGGACGGGTCTCCTATCGATGCTCTGGTGAGGACGAGTCGGGGACGGGTCTCCTATCGATTCTCTGGTGAGGACGAGTCGGGGGACGGGTCTCCTATTGATGCTCTGGTGAGGACGAGTCGGGGACGGGTCTCCTATCGATTCTCTGGTGAGGACGAGTCGGGGACGGGTCTTCTCTCGATGTTCTGGTGAGGACGAGTCGGGGACGGGTCTCCTATCGATTCTCTGGTGAGGACGAGTCGGGGACGGGTCTCCTATCGATTCTCTCCTCAGCTGGGTGTCGTGTTTTCGTCTTGTATGTCTCCTGTGACACCATCATTCCTCGTCTTCTACAATCTTCACGCAATACGATAACTGAGCTTCTAAATGGCATTCCTGGGAGTCTACAGAGAGGTGAAGCGCGGGTCGTCCTGTAAGCGATCTCTTCTGCTGACATTGGTGCCGTGTAGAACATCGATCATCTGCTTGGCTGATTACTGTACGCTGGGCTCCTCCATCATACAATCCGTCCATCCAGGAGGAAACGGGATTTATGCGAAGTGTATGGATTGTGTCAGACGTCGGGATAATGTTGACGCAAACCAGATTAATGGAGGAATGTTAAAACCGAGTCGTTCTGTGTAACAACCAATCCGGATTAGACCGACCATACACACACCGATCTCCAACCAGAATCACCCCGACCATACACAGACCGATCTCCAACCAGAATCACCCCGACCATACACAGACCGATCTCCAACCAGAATCACCCCGACCATACACAGACCGATCTCCAATCCAGATCAGACCGACCATACACAGACCGATCTCCAATCCAGATCAGACCGACCATACACACACCGATCTCCAACCAGAATCACCCCGACCATACACACACACCGATCTCCAACCAGAATCACCCCGACCATACACACACCGATCTCCAACCAGAATCACCCCGACCATACACAGACCGATCTCCAACCAGAATCACCCCGACCATACACACACCGATCTCCAACCAGAATCACCCCGACCATACACAGACCGATCTCCAACCAGAATCACCCCGACCATACACACACCGATCTCCAATCCAGATCAGACCGACCATACACAGACCGATCTCCAATCCAGATCAGACCGACCATACACACACCGATCTCCAACCAGAATCACCCCGACCATACACACACCGATCTCCAATCCAGATCAGACCGACCATACACAGACCGATCTCCAATCCAGATCAGACCGACCATACACACACCGATCTCCAACCAGAATCACCCCGACCATACACACACCGATCTCCAACCAGAATCACCCCGACCATACACAGACCGATCTCCAACCAGAATCACCCCGACCATACACAGACCGATCTCCAACCAGAATCACCCCGACCATACACAGACCGATCTCCAACCAGAATCACCCCGACCATACACAGAC